ATGTTATCATGGAAATAAAACTAATATTTGATGATGGGTATCAAAAGGTATCTAATATTCGGTACAGCTGAATTCATAATTTTTTCTGTGGAAATTTTCCTGTGTTAATTATTTCAAAATTAACAAACATTTTAAAAATGAACACAATTTTTTATGTGTTCTAAATGTATATTTTTGTGAATGTGGTCTTGCTAATTTATGACTTCCGATGAAATCGTCAAAACATCTGTTTTTTTCAAACAGTAGCTTCTCGATGTTAAAATAGAGGTCACAGAATTTTGCTTATAAGAAAACAAATAATAAATATTTTAAGTGAAAATATATTAAAAGAAAAGGTCACATTATAAAAATAAAAAAATTGTTGTCTTTAATGATGAAGAAATTTGTATCATACTAATACGATTACAATCATATTAAGAACAAATGTCATACCATTTATAATGGGCCCATAGAGCTTTTGTCACTTAGTGTTTTTATATTTAAAAACGATTTATATACATTGTGTGAATTTATTTTAATTAATAAATTTATGGTCAAAAAGAAAACCTGTAGATAAAAATAAATAATGACGTGCCACAACATGCATCCATAAAAAACAATCTCAAGAAAATGAATAATTAAAACAAAAATTAAATCAACATCATTATGGTCATTTTCTTTTTATAGATTGTTTGTATAAATTATCGTGTGAAAAAGAAAAATTAAAAATAATTTTAATTTATTTTTAAAATAAAAAAAAAAAACAACAAACTTGCATTTTCATCATTCATTCATTCATTCACACCTTTAGCGTATAATTAATAGTATTTTTTTTTTTATTTATTTATTTTTTTAATTTTCTACTTTTAGAGAAAGTTAATAAAAATACACGAAAAAAAGTGTGAACAATTTTTAAACAAAAACAAAATTGAGTCTAAAAGAAAATGAATGAATTTAGAAGAAAAAACATGTCGAGGAAAAAATGGGAAAACGTATGTTTGTTTTTAATACAAATATCAAGGCTGCAATATAAATTAATTTGTTTTTTAGTTTTAGTGTCAGTAGAATAGAGGAGATGATATCAGTGTAACCCAGTAGTATTGTATGAATTTTTCCTAAAGTATAATTTGCTCAGTTATGTGTACTTTGTTCTAAGATAGACGTTTATTATATATATTAAATATTATTTAAATAGTGATATTTTATACCAGCCATGGTTCCAACGGCACCATGGCCATGACCATAAGACAAAATATATAATATCACCAGTTAGGGAGTATCACCCAGAATTGCTGGGATCTGTTGGGTTATATGTCTATATGTTTGTATATTTGTGCTAATGAGCACAACAAAAATAACAACATTTATTGTCGACATAGTTTTGTGAAATGTTTTAGCAGTGTGGGCGTTGAGGTTTATTTTTTTGACTTATTTTTGCAACTAGTTTTCTTTGTTTTTCCTTTTTTTATTTCATTATTAAAAACATTTCATGGTTTTGTTTGATTTTTTTTTTTTATAAAAATTTATTTAAAAAATTTGTTAACAAACATTTGTTGATCATAAATTAAATTGAAAAAAAAAAACGAGAGCGCAAAAAGTCTGTTTAAATAAAAACAACAGTAAAAGGGCGTAATTTAAATATTTACACTTTTACACCCACATACACAAATGTGTTTTATAAACAGCTTCTATGTCGTTAATGTTTGTTTAATCAAAAAAATCGAATTACAATTTTTTTTGCTACTGTTTGCAAGTATTTTAATTATATTAATTTTTTTATTAACATTTTTTTGTATTTAACATGAAAAGATAATTAGAGTTGAATGCCCACAATAGCGAGCAAAAATATGGTAGAACTTTCTAGAAACTTTCTATCTTGTTGTTTTGAGTTTTTCGTTTTCCATCACTTTGTATAACATTTTTAAAAATAATGTTTTTTTTTTTTTAAACTGCTATTATTTTATCAGCTTATGTATTTTTTTTATAAAAACATACTTATAATTCAAAGTAAATAATATATAATGAAAATTAAATATATATATTGTAAATATTTCTCTATTAAAATTAAATTTTTATTTAATATTATTTTACTGATTGTATTTTATCATAAATTAAAATTTATTTATTTTGTTATTTTAATAATTAGAAACGTATGGAGCTGTTGTCAAAAGCTTTCTATATGAAATTTTGTAGAAAGTGCAAATTTTCCAAAATTTATAGGAAAAAGTTCAGATTTTAAGTTTCTATATCATATTTACAGCTTTTGCAGAATATATATTCTTTTTTATACCCTACACCTCTGATGATGCACAAAAATATTTAAAGTATACCAATTGGCTTCGAATCTCTGAGTCAATTATGCTATGGAACTCCGTCAGTCTGGGTAACTCCCTCTATGTAAAGTTTTGAGCGAAAAGTACATATCGCAATTTTGAGCACAATTGGATGAAATTTGGCCCAAGGACGAAAACTATTGAAAGTGGTTAAAATCGCTCCATTCTTTAACCTCGCCCCCATGCAGTTAGTTAGTTAGTTAGTTAGTTAGTTAGTTAGTTAGTTAGTTAGTTAGTTAGTTAGTTAGTTAGTTAGTTAGTTAGTTAGTTAGTTAGTAGTTAGTTAGTTAGTTAGTTAGTTAGTTAGTTAGTTAGTTAGTTAGTTAGTTAGTTAGTTAGTTAGTTAGTTAGTTAGTTAGTTAGTTAGTTAGTTAGTTAGTTAGTTAGTTAGTTAGTTAGTTAGTTAGTTAGTTAGTAGTTAGTTAGTTAGTTAGTTAGTTAGTTAGTTAGTTAGTTAGTTAGTTAGTTAGTTAGTTAGTTAGTTAGTTAGTTAGTTAGTTAGTAGTTAGTTAGTTAGTTAGTTAGTTAGTTAGTTAGTTAGTTAGTTAGTTAGTTAGTTAGTTAGTTAGTTAGTTAGTTAGTTAGTTAGTTAGTTAGTTAGTTAGTTAGTTAGTTAGTTAGTTAGTTAGTTAGTTAGTTAGTTAGTTAGTTAGTTAGTTAGTAGTTAGTTAGTTAGTTAGTTAGTTAGTTAGTTAGTAGTTAGTTAGTAGTTAGTTAGTTAGTTAGTTAGTTAGTTAGTTAGTTAGTTGGTTCGTTAGTTAGTTAGTTTCTTGGTTCGTTAGTTAGTTGGTTCGTTAGTTTGTTGCTTCGTTAGTTAGTTGGTTCGTTAGTTAGTTGGTTAATTGGTTTGTTGCTTAGTTGGTTTGTTCTTTCGTTGGTTTGTTGCTTAGTTGGTTTGTTGCTTAGTTGGTTTGTTGCTTAGTTGGTTTGTTGCTTAGTTGGTTCGTTAGTTAGTTGGTTAGTTGCTTTGTTGGTTAGTTGGTTCGTTAGTTAGTTGGCTAGTTGGTTTGTTGCTTAGTTGGTTGGTTGCTCGGTCGGTTGGTCGGTTGTTCGATTGGTTGGTGGGTTAAAGCTGTGATACATGGTTGTCAGATCTTACAACGTTGTCAGTAAAATGAGCAGAAAATGTCTAACAATCCTGGCACTGGTTAAGGACCGCACAACAGACCCGATAGAGGCCTAGGTGTATTTCTTCGGATTTGACGTATATATGTACATCCTCCTTTCAAACTAACTAACTTCTTTAAGAGAACCTGATTTTACCGATGCTTTAACTTTGTAAAATGTGACGTTTCTATTTTATATTTAATTTTTAGCATAGAACTGCCTTTTAGCAATAGCTCCTTCAGTACAAAATATGAATTCATATTTAGGAAAAGTGTTTTCGTATTTTGTGCCTGTCCAAAGACAAATTCTTTAATATTTTTATTTCTTAACTAAATGTAGCATGTCTTGCAAGTGTTCTTAAATGAACCTCATATATTTTTCTTTTTATAATTTATTTTTTTATACTGATTAATTTATATACAAGTTTTTGTTGTTTTTAATTTGAAAATTTAATTATGAGTTCCATTAAAAATTCTAAAGAAAACAAAATAAAATTGATTTAGTAGCAAAAAAAGTAGAAACACAAATAAACAAACATACAATATTCAAATATATATATTGACTTTTAAAAAAAAATAAATAAAAAAATTTCATCAAATAAGTACATAAAAAACTTGTATAATAAAGATATATTTTGTTTATTTTTAAAAAATTAAATAATTTTCAACAAAAAAAAAAGAACTCAAATTATTGGAAAGGAGGAATATATTCAAAAATAAAGAAATAAAACACATACAAAAGTTTATTACAAAAAATTGTAAATATTTTGAAACAAATGTTTTCAAAAAATCAAATAGTTTTTCAAGAGGCTGTACTTAACACACAACCACACTATTTGTGTGTTTGCTTAAAACATATTATGATTTATTGGTTCTGTTTAGGGAGTACCAGCTCTGGTTGGCACCCACGCGCCACTCTAGACGTTTTTAGACGATTAACGAAATTTTTGAAAAGCCTTCAACTTGTAGCCATATGAAAGTATATTAATAATATACGTAATTTTGAATGTTTATATTTATTTCTTGTTATTTTGTCTGAAAACATTAAAAATCTAAGGTGAAAATAATTTAAATGTTTTACCTTTAAAAAAGCCATAAAAATAACAATAATAATGAACCTGAACTTGAATTTTAAATAATGATTTCTATATAATTTTCAGCGTATTTTTTTTCTTAATAATTGCTGTCTAAATACTCTAAGGGGAATTTAAGAATTTACTTCCGCTGCCGAAATTTGTGGTGGGGATGTTGTTGATTTTAAATTATTAAAACATATTAGTTTATTTTGTTGTTTAGAATAGTAAAAAAGAATAAAATGTAGCATTTAGTAAAGAAAACAATTTTAACGCCTACATTGAGTTTATTAGAATTTTTAGTGTTTTTCTTAGCCTTTGCTTTTTGGTTTATTTTTCAAAAAACAAACTACAAATTGACGTCATTATTGTCTTTCCAATCTGGTGAATGATCTTCATTAATTCATAAGAAAATTGTGGCCAATAGTGTTTACACACAAACACACTCACAGAAACTTTTTGTATATAAAAATTTACCAAAATATTGTGTGTTTCTTTTATTTGCATTGTTTTTTTTTTTTTTGATTTTTCAAAAAAAAAAAAAAAAAAAAAAAAATTGCTTTTGCTTGGGATTTTCTATTCTGGTATGAAATGGAAAATTGTGGCGTATTTTTGCGTCAGTCGTTTATTCGGTTTCGATCGTTAAAGACAAATTAGCAAACGTTCCATTTTCCATTTTTTTTACTTTTCAAACGTTATCCTTTTATAAATACATAAAAAATGGCTGTAAGTGTTTTAATATTATTTACGAAAAATTTATTAAACAATAAAAAAAACTTTCACAATATATCATTAAATTAAAAAAAAATAAAACGAAAAACTTAAATCCTGTGTATAATTAAATTAATGTTAAAAAAAAGAATTCAACATAAAGTCAAGCATTAAAAACCACTTGAGCGTATGATTGACAATTAATTCAACAATAAAAAATTTAAATTAAACAGAAAAATGAAAACATTGCAGTGTTCTACCAATAATTTGCAACATTTTATGTTTATTAATGTTTAATTTTATATAATTTTATTAAAATTTATTTTATACACTCAATTGACTTGCAGTACAAATTTTGTTCAACCAGCACAATTTACTGTGAATTTGTGTTTGAATTAATCATACAACACTTTTGTTTGAATTAAAAAAAAGTTAAGTGTTTTAGTTACCACAAATTTACTAAAAAATTTTACTTAATTACTATATGTAGTAATAAATTGTAATTTTGTAGAAATTTAAAAAATTTTAAAATGAATTTGTTTTTAGGCAATAGGGGGATTGCACATTTAAGTTTAAAATAAAAGTGTTAAAAAATGGGTATATGGAAATTAGACCAGACAATAGACAAGACTAGGCTATAGTCTAGTCTAGACTAGACTATATATTAGACTATAGGCTAGCTTTAACACACGAATATATACTAACTAAGACTATAGACTAGACTATAGACTAGACTATAGACTAGACTATAGACTAGACTATAGACTAGACTATAGACTAGACTATAGACTAGACTATAGACTAGACTATAGACTAGACTATAGACTAGACTATAGACTAGACTATAGACTAGACTATAGACTAGACTATAGACTAGACTATAGACTAGACTATAGACTAGACTATAGACTAGACTATAGACTAGACTATAGACTAGACTATAGACTAGACTATAGACTAGACTATAGACTAGACTATAGACTAGACTATAGACTAGACTATAGACTAGACTATAGACTAGACTATAGACTAGACTATAGACTAGACTATAGACTAGACTATAGACTAGACTATAGACTAGACTATAGACTAGACTATAGACTAGACTATAGACTAGACTATAGACTAGACTATAGACTAGACTATAGACTAGACTATAGACTAGACTATAGACTAGACTATAGACTAGACTATAGACTAGACTATAGACTAGACTATAGACTAGACTATAGACTAGACTATAGACTAGACTAGACTATAGACTAGACTATAGACTAGACTATAGACTAGACTATAGACTAGACTATAGACTAGACTATAGACTAGACTATAGACTAGATTATAGACTAGATTATAGACTAGACTATAGACTAGACTAGACTATAGACTAGACTATAGACTAGACTATAGACTAGACTATAGACTAGACTATAGACTAGACTATAGACTAGACTATAGACTAGACTATAGACTAGACTATAGACTAGACTATAGACTAGACTAGACTAGACTATAGACTAGACTATAGACTAGACTATAGACTAGACTATAGACTAGACTATAGACTAGATTATAGACTAGACTATAGACTAGACTAGACTATAGACTAGTCTATAGTCTAGTCTATAGACTAGACTATAGACTAGATTATAGACTAGACTATAGACTAGACTATAGACTAGTCTATAGTCTAGTCTATAGTCTAGTCTATAGTCTAGTCTATAGTCTAGTCTATAGTCTAGTCTATAGTCTAGTCTATAGTCTAGTCTAGTCTAGTCTAGTCTATAGTCTAGTCTATAGTCTAGTCTATAGTCTAGTCTATAGTCTAGTCTATAGTCTAGTCTATAGTCTAGTCTATAGTCTAGTCTATAGTCTAGTCTATAGTCTAGTCTATAGTCTAGTCTATAGTCTAGTCTATAGTCTAGTCTATAGTCTAGTCTAGTCTATAGTCTAGTCTATAGTCTAGTCTATAGTCAAGTCTATAGTCTAGTCTATAGTCTAGTCTATAGTCTAGTCTATAGTCTAGTCTATAGTCTAGTCTGTAGTCTAGTATAGACTAGACTATAGACTAGACTAGACTAAAGACTAGACTAGACTAGACTAGACTATAGACTAGACTAGACTAGACTAGACTAGACTAGACTAGACTAGACTAGACTAGACTAGACTAGACTAGACTAGACTAGACTAGACTAGACTAGACTAGACTAGACTAGACTAGACTAGACTAGACTAGACTAGACTAGACTAGACTAGACTAGACTAGACTAGGACTAGACTAACTAGACTAACTAGACTAAAGACTAGACTAGACTAGACTAGACTAGACTGGACTAGACTAGACTAGACTAGACTAGACTAGACTAGACTAGACTAGACTAGACTAGACTAGACTAGACTAGACTAGACTAGACTAGACTAGACTAGACTAGACTAGACTAGACTAGACTAGACTAGACTAGACTAGACTAGACTAGACTAGACTAGACTAGACTAGACTAGACTAGACTAGACTAGACTAGACTAGACTAGACTAGACTAGACTAGACTAGACTAGACTAGACTAGACTAGACTAGACTAGACTAGACTAGACTATAGACTAGACTAGACCAGACTATAGACTAGACTAGACCAGACTATAGACTAGTCTATAGACTAGATTATAGGCTATACTATAGACTCGACTTTTCACTAAACTATAGTCTAGACATAGACATTTAATATTTTTTTTATTTTGCACCACCCTAATTATTTTCTCAATAGTTCACAACTCTCTAAATTATTAACTCTCGATATTAAAACGAAAATAAAAAACATAAATTAATTATAGACTTTTATATAGTTTTAACAGAACTTTCCTGTATTTTTGCACTCAAAAGCAAACCACAAAAGATATTTTTGTGGCCTTAACTTTTTTTTTTTTAAATACAAAAAATTTATATAACGAATTCAAATGAATCGAAATGAAATTTTAATTTTAATAAGTTTATTTATTTGTTGAATTTATACCAGAAGTCTATTAGTGTTGTTAAAATATTGACTAGTGGATAACGAGTAAGAAATATATGGGGAGTTGCTATAATGTGTATTAGTTTTCAACAAGTAGCTAATTGATAATTTTGAACTTGAAGTCTCAAGGTTTCTTAAAATATAACCAATATTTTTAAACTTATAAGTTTTTCTGAAGTATTCGAGTCAAATTTTATAGCTTTATAATATTGAATAAGGAAATGCAACAGTAAGACCACTTTATTCTGTTTTTTTTTTTTTTTTTGTTATAACTCAAAAAGCTATAACCATTTTTAACCAACCAATAACACAAATATTTAAATGACTATTTCAGTAAATGGCCTTTTAACATTTTATAATGGAAAGAGAGAGAGAGAGAGATTTCGCAAATAAATTACAATTTAAATTTATTGGTTTTTTGTGAAAGAGGGAAGAATTTTTTTAATTAATAAAATAAAAATTATAATAACAATGGTTGACCATTATAAAAAAGCAAATATTTAAAATATATTTTGCTCTTTTACATTTTTCAAAACCAAAAAAAAAAAAAAAATAAACAACATAATTGCGTATTTAAAATTATCACTGATAATGACTGTTGGCAGTGTTTGAGTTTATAAAAGTTGGATAATGAGAAAAAGTATCTAAACAAATATACAAAAATTTGGAAAATTACGAAATTTAATAACATTATACCGGAACAAAGGGTTATCGTTCATAACTAGCATCAAAATATTATTGATAACTTTTAATAAATTCTTATTATTTAAAATCTATTTTTAATAATTTATCAAATAATATGTATATAATCTCCCAAAATTTATTAAATTTAATTAATTTCATATTTGCTTAACCTTTAATATCATTTACACACACATATTATTCAATAACATTTGTTTGTTTAACAAAAATTTTAAACTTCTAAAATTACAGAAAATTTTCAATTTTTTCGAAGTTCAGCATAAAACCAACAATATTTTATGATCTTATTTTAAGATAAACATTGAGTTCAATGTATAAATATTATTTGATATTGGTTTTTTGACTATAATTTAGTTTTAATTTGGTTATACATTAATTAAATGCATAACAACAATAGAGCTAATGAAAATTAAATGGAAATTGTTTATAGACATTCACATTAAATGTATGTAATTATAAACATACATAAATACATATCTATGTAGAAATTGTACACAATAGAGTAGAGATAAATAAAACCAATAAAAACAATAATTACAAATACTGAATAAAATGGAAAAAATAAACAACATAAATACATAAAATAAATAGAAAAAATAAAACAATTTAATTAAATTGTATAATTGGTAAAATAAACAATAAATTTAGTTGTTGAAAATGCAATTTATGCTTTAGAGAAAATTTAATTTCTAACAAAAACAGCTTTAAAAACAACAACAAATACTTAAAAACTAAATAAATTATTTTTGGGAAAAAAACGTGCAAGACAAACATTTTGAATGCTAGAGGAATTAAACTAAATTAAGGTTTAAGTGGAAAAATAGTATTATTATTTAAATAACAATAATTACAAAAAAATAAGCAATTAAAATTTTAATTTCATCTTTAATAAACAAACAAATTTTTAATACATTTTTTATACTCTGCTGTGCCGAACAATAAAATGTTTCAGGAAAATTCTTCCTCTAAGAACAATAAAATATTCCAAATAAATTCTTTTTCTAAGATTTTTTTAAGGCAGATAAACAGAATGACAGACATGACCACTAAAGAATATTTAGTAGAATTTTCATCAGTCTGATAGACAGACAGACACATAGACAGATAGATAGATAGATAGATAGATAGATAGATAGATAGATAGATAGATAGATAGATAGATAGATAGATAGATAGATAGATAGATAGATAGATAGATAGATAGATAGATAGATAGATAGATAGATAGATAGATAGATAGATAGATAGATAGATAGATAGATAGATAGATAGATAGATAGATAGATAGACAGACAGACAGACAGACAGACAGACAGACAGACAGACAGACAGACAGACAGACAGACAGACAGACAGACAGACAGACAGACAGACAGACAGACAGACAGACTTTTCATATCATATTCTATATATTGACTAGTATAACTTTCTCATCTGTCATGACTATTATACACTAGCTACAAAAAACATTTGTTAAAATATTTCAAAAAAATATTTTTCATAATTGTTTAATTGCTTTAAATATTTCAAATTGTTTTTTTTTTCTCGCTGAAATGTTTAACAACAGAAACAAAATGAACAATTGTTCTTGTTTTTTATTTTTATTTGTTGGTTCACGAACAACATATTAATTTATTTTCCTTTAAATATTATTATTTTTTTTTTATTGTTTGCTCCTCTCTCCAACTTTCGACGCTGATGGCAAACCACAAACAAATGATTGATGGATTTTTCTTTTGGCGACAAGTGGTCACAAACTACTTGACATTTATATATTTCAATGCTATCGAAAGTTGAAATATATAATTTTTTTTTATTTTAATATTGTTGCTGCAGGTTTTATTTTCAACTGAAAACTATAAACAAAAACCATGGAACTAAAACCGTCACACATTCTTTAGTATAAATTTAATTTATATAAAAAGCAACAGCATTATCACCACCATCATCATCATCGTCGTCGTCGTTGTCAGTAGAGGAAAAACAAAAAAACTGGAAATACTTTACTTAAAATAGATTTATATGTTGAAATCATATACAATGTTTAATATATTGAATGACAACAATAACAAATATCAACAGTAACAGCAGCATAAGCAAACAAACAAACAAACATACATACAACAATAAACAAATATTTATCAAAATCCATTTGCAGCATGTGTTGAGTAGTGACGATTTTACTACTATTATTTTGAATTAATAATATTAAAGCCATAGAAGATTACAGCAGCAATGGATAAAAAAACTAGTTAGTTATTTATAGAACTCGTTAAACGGTTTTGGAATTCAAGGAATTGCAAGATATATTGCTAACTTATACATATAATCGTCCTTAAATAGGAAGTTTTCCAACTTATATCAAATGTCATTTACTTGTATATAAATAACTGACCTGTCCAGAAGATTTTGACAATTTTTTAGAATTCTAAGATTATTTGAGACAAACAAATGTTGCGGCTTCATTAGGTACTCTTAAGACTTAAGATCAATGGGAATAAAATAGGTCAATATATGGCTGTATTTGTTCTTGGACGTCCAATTTTGAACCACTTTTTCAAGAATAACACCAACAATGTTTTCCTCTAAGAAATCATTTGTTTCACAGGAAATAATCGAGAGATTTGAATATCCATAACTGATATACTGATCACCCCTAGACAAGAAATCTTTCATCATTTGCTGATTATTATTGATCCAAATATTTTTTAAAATAATTTCTAGAAATCTGACCTATAAAAATTCTTATATTTGCCGTCAACAGAGTCTTAAGTGTAGTGTTAAATACATTTACTTTTTAGCACGCGCACATTATATTGTTGTACTATATTTGATGATGATGATGTTGACGCTGTGTGTATGTGTTTTTAGACAGTTTTCAACAGAAAAAAAATACATATTTTAATATTTTGTATACTTTTACTTATAATAAAAATGTTTGTACATACAAACATATATTATATTTTACGCTTTGATACAATATTACATTTATTTGCAAAAATTATAAAAAAAACATATGTACACAAATATACAATTTTACACTTTAACTATATGAGTGTGGATTATGACAAATTTAAAATATATTTTTTTATATAATAAATACATACATATGTACATACATATGTACATATATATAAATTTTTTTCAATTTCATTATTACTTTAAATTTATTTTGTCGGGAGAGTGTTTGTTTGTTATAAATAAAATTTTTTATATAAAAATTTTCTGCCATTGTCCTGTGCTTAAAACTATTTAGTTGGTATATTCTATCTATATATGTATGTTGTCTGTGTTAGTATATCATATACACTTTTACTGTAGTTTTAAAATATTTTTTTTAATAAAATTCATTAATTTTTCTTTATATTTTTATTTGTTTAAATATAAACGTATTTTTTTTGCTTACACATTCGTTAGTTTCTATATTTTGTATTTTTTATATAATTCTGTTGCTGTTTTTATAAAACATAAAAATATTAATTTTAATTTGCTGCTGTTTTCCAACTCCATTTGATATTTATAATTGTTGCACGTTGCAACCATATTTAGCAAAAAAAAAAATTAAAAGGAAGGGAAATACTGCCAAACACTGTGTTATTAAATGACTTTATGGTCATAATATTAAAACAATTTGTTGTCATATTAATGTGTGGTAAATGTTTAATAAAAAAAACTTAAATTTTTTTAATAAATTTTTTATAGCATTTGCTTTGTTTGCAACTTTAGGGAAATTGTAATTTATTACACTCGTTTTAAGTGGACTTAAATAGAAAAGTGTTTAAAGGATATGTTTGCAGTTTTTGCTTAACATTGAATTTCGAAATTAATATCAACAATTATGAAAATTTGTCTATCGTCTTTTATTGGGGTTATTTTCCACTTAAATTATTAGTACTTAAATGAAAAACATTTAAAATTTACTACAATTATAATCGAAAGTAAATGGGAATTTATTTCACGGAAGTCTTTAAAATTTCTATATTTGAGGTTTTGGTTTTGGTTTTCTAGTTCAGTTCTAGTTCAGTTCTAGTTCAGTTCTAGTTCAGTTCTAGTTCAGTTCTAGTTCAGTTCTAGTTCAGTTCTAGTTCAGTTCTAGTTCAGTTCTAGTTCAGTTGTGGTTCCCTAATTTTGTTAAATTTTTTCATTAAAAAAAGTATTAGTTCGTACATAACATAATAAAAATTATATAATTATTGAAAATTTATTAAGTTTTTTTCATTTTAATATATTTTATATTTTATGAATATAGGATTTCCGTTGCTACTAATATGCATTGTTATGTTTACAATTTTTATTTTGTCTATTTATTAACCAAGTTGCATGTTATTGTTTTTAGTCTAAAACAAACAAAAAATTTTATACAATTTGCATGAGACTGTTTCTGTATTTTTTCGGTTAATGTGTTTAGACAAAGTTTATGACTGGGTCGTGTGCTTGAAATATATTCACATGTATATGTCAAAACAGTGGGTGAAAAAAGTAACACATTAGTCACATAGAAAAAGATTTTTTATAAGGCAATTTAAAAGAAATTTAAATTTTTACACAAATATCTTTAATATTATCTACAAATTATTTCTTACTGGAGCAGTGGGATTTCTATTACATACTGTACTTTATGGAAGCTAATAGTTCATCCTCCTCTTTTTACCTAAACATTTTTTCTGCCAGACAGTGTATGTATGAGTATTTGCCGCATTCAAGTGGGTGTTGCGTTGTATACAATTTGATTTTTTTATTTTTAATTTGTTTTTTTTTTTTTTTTTTTACTTTTGGCCCACAGCCAATTGGCTTAATTAAATTAAACAGATTTTTGAGTTAGAAACAAATAAAACGAATAAAACTCATATAGAAAAACATAAACACCCAAAATAATGCACGAAATTCTTAACAAAACATACAAAGCAGAAAAATAAAAATTTGAACAAGAAAAGCAAACGGAAAAATGAAATAAAGTAAATAATTCCAGAAATGCAAACAAATTTTGGCACAAATTCAATGTCATACAAAAGTTAAATAAACAGCTACCAAAAAAAGAAAATACTTTTCGAGAAATCTTAAATCTTTTTTATTCGACTTGGAAATATTACAAATTTGTAGGGAATTAGGTTTTTTAAGGTATAATCTCAATGATAAAGTTTTAAAGAGATTTGTTTCATTGTGATCAACATAAAATTTAAATTAGAAAATGCACTTCTTAGGAGCAGAAATGTAAGGGAATGAGGTCGAATTGCTACAACGAAAAAAGCGAAGAAAATTGCTTTAAAGTCAAAAGAAGAGAACAACCTCAAAAACACTAGACTATACAAATTTAATTCGTTTCATCCAGTTCTCTGTTAAAAAAAAAAAATAATTTTGTTCTGTTTTTCATTAATCCTTATCCATCTTTCATAGATTTCTACTTTGTTTTTTCCCCATACATTTTTCATTATAATTTTTGTATTTAATAATTTAACAGAAAACTACTTAATATTTATGAGAGTGCATTGGATAAAAAGCAAGTAAACCACAAACTCACACAGCTCTTGAATTTTAAATTGTTTCTAATTATTATCAAATTGTGGAACAAGTTTTAAAAACAACAAATGAAAAACTGCAAGTGTATGGAAAAACCATTATATATTTTGCATATTTTAGTATATGAAATGCAATTGGGATTTAAATAATAATAAATTCATTATAACATTAATATTATGAATTTAAATTAATATTTATAGAGAAATTGTATAAAAATTAAAATAATATAAAGTATAAATGTAAATTTTTTTTGAAACAGCAAATGGCATCTAAAGCGAAAAATTGTAAAATAAAAATTCAATTTAAATTCTATAATCATTTCATTTTTAATTAAAAACTATACAAAAAAATTAATTAAAATTATGTTTGTTTTTGCAGCCCCGCAACAAGGAACAAGAACAAGAAGTCTTGAACTGGATCTTTGAAGTTTTGGGTGAAAAAGTGCCTGCTGGTAATTATGAAGATATCTTGAAGGACGGTATTGTTTTGTGCAAATTGATCAACAAATTGGCTCCCGGCTCTGTTAAGAAAATCCAAGAACGTGGCACCAACTTCCAGTTGATGGAAAACATCCAAAGATTCCAAGCTGCCATTAAGAAATACGGTGTACCAGAAGAGGAAATCTTCCAAACTGCTGATCTCTTTGAACGTCGTAATATTCCCCAAGTTACCTTGTGCTTGTACTCTTTGGGCCGCACTGTAAGTTTATATTTTCAGTAAACTAACAACAATATGTTAATAACATTTTTATTTGATGTTAGACCCAACACCACCCTGAATACACTGGTCCCTCTTTGGGTCCCAAGATGGCTGAGAAGAACGAACGCACCTTCACCGAAGAACAATTGCGTGCCCACAATGCTGAACTCAACTTGCAAATGGGCTTCAACAAGGGTGCATCCCAATCTGGCCATGGTGGTTTCGGCAACACCCGCCACATGTAAACCTAATGTCTTCCCTATCATTATTTGCCTTAAATTAAGCTTTCATCTTGTTTATCATATTCGGTTTTTCCGTTTTGTTATCACATCAGAAATATTAATATACATTTAATTTAATGAATTTCGTGTTTTCTATTTGTTTTATTTAGTTTTTCTATAATTATAAGCATCTTTTGTAATGTCATGTAGTTATTTCCTTTTTTTTTTTTTTTGTTCTTTTCTTTTCGTGTTTTTCTAATTAAGTAAAATAAATATTAATATATTAATAATAATAAAAAAATTACCCAAAAATAACAAATTATCATGTTTATTCTTGGTTAATAAATAAACCTTTTAAAAGGTGTTAGATAGAAACTTCCTTATATTATCTTTAATATATATTCTCTACATAAATTGGTATTTCAGTTGTCTGTTAAAGAGTATGAGCCTTAAAGCCTGTGTCAACACCTGAATATATTTAGATAAGCTTAATAAATATCAAGGTCGGACTTTAGTTTGTTTATTTTTTTTTAGCAAAGCAACCAACCTACAAGATAAACAAATAAACAAACAATAACAAAGTTGTAGACATCAATTCGAAATAATATAATACGCATATACACTTAGAGAAAATAAAGGTATTTAATGATAAAATTCAAGTATTTATTTAAGGAAATTAGATAGATTTGCCTTTCGTTTAGCATAATTACAAAGATCTTGTAACGTATTTTTAATATATGCCTAAAAATATGTCATAATTATGCTCAGTTTTCAACATTGCCGTGACATTAAGTAGTGATATACATACATACATACATATCATTGTGTTGGTTATGTTGTCATGATTTTTGCGAAAAGTATAAAAGCATTTCGTAAGGATGCTGTGGCGTATACGTTATATTTGAAAAATTACATAATAAGTATACGCCACCAATGATAAAGTATATAAACAGAAGCTTAATTGCAGATCTACTGAAGCAAACCTTTAAAGAGCATTATTTGGGATACTATTCTTAACAAATTCTTAAAGAATACCATTTATATTTTTTTCAGTGTACATCACAAATACGTACAGTTTGACACAGTGCGTGTTTCATGTGTCTTATAAACAAATTGCATGACATTTTAGATTAAAAAAAATTACAGCAAATATGTATTCCCTGTGTATTAAGTAAAGGACACACGCACTAAACCCAATCTAACAAGTCATGAGAAAATATTTTTTAGGAAAAATACCGACCAACAACTCAAACGCACACAAACATAGTAAGATATACAAACAAACATTGATTAAATATATAAAAAATATAGCCTCAACATAGTTCTACAAATATTTATTCATATGTAAAGATCAATGGTGAAAAGTTTATACTATGTAACTAACATAAAATAATGATGCTAATAATCTTTGGTATTATTAAAAAAATTATTGAAATTTTTGCTTATAACTATTTGAGAAAAAATATAAGTTAGACTGTGTCCAGTTTTCATCATCAATATAAATTTATACTAATAAACATACAAAAACTGTTTGTATTGAGGTGTATGTGTGTGTGTGTGCGAGTGCCATTGCAAATGTGTTGAACCATGCTAGAAATTCACAAAGTTTAATGCCACAAAAAATAAACATTGACAAAACAACAACAGTAATAATAATGGCAACAACTTAAGCCCAGGTGAATATTTAGAAAATTGTATTTATTTACCTGTTTTTCTATATAAATTTATTATATTTTTATGTTTTATGAAAGAGTGTGTGTGTGTGTTTGTTACATTTTTAGTAGACTTGCATAAAGCATATTATTTATTTTAATACTAATAAAAATATACGTTTTGTATTTAGCAAAAAAGGTTAACTTCAAAACAACAAAAAATTTGAGAAAAAGTGATAAAAGAGAATGAAAACTCAAAATTAAAATAATTTCAACTTAAGAACTTTGGACTCAAAATTAAAAAAATGCAAAACTGAACATGATCTATTTGCCTAATAAGCATTCATATACCGGTTAAAATAAGCCAATATTTTGTATAAATTCATATGAGTAAGCTTGCCTAGATGTGTGAATATGTATCGAATGTAAATGATATGAATGGTCACGCAATTTATACCAAAAAAAATCATTACCGAATAACAATTCATATAAATGTGGCACATGAAAAAATTTGGTATATTGGTAGCTAGAGTATTTAGTAAATATTATTTTAATAAACATTTAGTTACCCAAATGCAAATATCCATATATGAACAAAATTGTATATAATAAAATATACAGGAACAAATAAATTTATCAAAATTTATTCTCTATATTTATTTGTTTTCTATGCCACATTTGGGGGGTTTTTCAGAGAATTTATGCTGTCGTCATTGTTTTCAATTTAGGAAATTTTATTTGAATTTATTATTGGGGCGTATATATTGATTTTCGGTTACCGGAAGTATTAAAGTTAAGGGCAATTATTAATGTTTTGTTTTTAGGGGATAGTTAGGTTAGATTGAGAGGAGTATAAATAAAACTGAAAATCCGAAGAAATCAGTGGTGGAAAAGCCCTTTGAATGGATGTTTGAAAACTCAGTTTTCTGGAGGTAGTACCTTAAAATTTTCAACTTAATGTTCTTGAGGGATGTTAAATCTTAAATAATATGGATATTTGAATGTAATTTCAAAAAAAGGCTGACAAATTCTGTACTACAAATATCGAGCAGGTCGATTTGACACGGAACTACATAATCTGGCACACTGGTAGCCCGCAGGGCAAAGTTTTGGACTTTGTCTTGTCTCGGTTATTGGGGAGGTCCCTTCAGGATGCACGTGGTGACTGTGGTTTAAACCTAAATTCACGGAAGGAGAATATCGGTTAAAAGACTAATGCACGGTAATGTCTATTATTCGGAATAAGTTCGGTGCTGTTGCCGAGACAACAGATACCCCCGCAACAGATACCCCCACAGAATAACTGTGGGACTAAGCATTGGAAATGAGTTGGTGTTATGTGTATGTATATGATACGGGATGAATGTAGAGGTATGCGGACCTTACCCACCCATATACCGAGGTTGAGTGTGTCGCATGTTGTTTTCTATGAGTGTGCCGAATGAATGAGAAGTGTGCTGGGTTAAATGATGATAGATGAAAGCTATCTTTTACAAGTGATACCATGGAGTTTTTCTTCATTGTCCGGGTATGTTCAGGGTTTACTCTATTCATGCCAGATTTACCACAGTGTGTTCTCTGTGAGTAAGAACAAGTCCTCGGCTTATTTGATGGATTCGTGTTTCGCTCTACTGAAACACATCTCTAGGTGCTGTTGCCGACTCAACAGAGGCCATACATCCCATCTGCGTGGTTGTAAACGGAAGTGATGTTTTTGCATCTCTTAAGTTAAGCAATGGGACAGCAATAGTAAGAGATTAGATAGCTCGAATACTTGAGCAAAGTTCCGGTACATGTACCGGAAGAACGATGTAAAGGCTTGTAAGAAGCCCAAAGGGGCGATGGTGAGTCTTCTAAACAGCTCCCACAGTAAAATTAGGACAACACGGCAGATTTTTCAATAAAAATGTGATTTTCTTAAACATTTTTAATGAAATATCCAAGTTTTCACCATTTTTATTTTATTCACTAGAAATCTGATTAAAAACACGACTTTTCATTTCATTCCTATATAATTTGATCCACTTAAGTTAATGCTTTTTGTGTAATTTATAAAATAACAACTTCAACTAAATACAACTAACAATTTAAACAGCAATTTATAATAATACATTTATGTATAAAAATACAGATTAGTTGAAGTACTTTTGAAATAATACACAACATAAGAGAATAAAATTTTCGTAATATACATATATTTATATAAAATATATATATATTATATTTTCACATTTATATTTCTATTTAAATACTATGTATAGAGTTGGTTGGCTGGTTGGTCATTCATTTAATTTGTCATTTACTGACTTAAATACAAAAACACACGTACTTATTTACTCAGTCATTCCCTCGTTTAGTCAGTCATTTATTTTAAAATGTTTTATATATATTTTTTTTTTTTTGTAAAATTATTTATCTGTGTTTAGTTTCATCAAAATGTTCATATACATACAAACAATTGTGGAAGCAGTGCAACTCAACAATTATGTTTATATAAGTGAAATTGTATAATTGTTGTTGTTGAGTGTGTTTGAATTTGTGTTTGTATGTCAATTTTGAAAATTTAGCTTATCCCCTGTATGTCTGTACATGCTTGTGTATTCATTTTATTACATTTCTCTTTTTTTTTCTCAAATTATTTTCGTATAATTTAGAAAAAAAATTTCAATATGACGGATATTTGTATGTAGAATTTTTTTCCCCATTCAATTCATGTTCTATTTATTGAATTTTATTTATGTTTACTTTTCATTTTTGATGTTCATAGTAAAATATTAGAAACACACATCCACACACTCTCATTCAAATACATACGAGTCATTTATTTTACAAATTTGTTTTTTGATATTTTTCTGCTGGATATTTTGTGTATGTGTGAGTTTTTTTATTTATTTGAAAAGTGGTATAAATTACTAATGCTCATGTAATCATTTTTTATACAAGCACAAATAACAAAAATATAATTTGGAAAAAAATTACATGTTAAAAGTGATGCCAATTTAAGAGGAAACTTAAAGCGCTAAGGAATTCATAATACTGAACACTAATCTCTAAATTCAGAAACGAGTATTTAATTTATCAATAGCAAATTTTCAGTAGAAAATCTTAAGAATGCTGGCATCGAATTACAGCATACGTAATCGAGTAAAACTTATCTAGTGTTCCTTTTTGAGATGATGGCATTCGATATCGAGCCAACACACTTAGATTTTAAATGTGTTTTTTATGTTTATTCTTGATCGAAATGCGGTAACTCGGATTCTGTTCTTTTGGCTTTTAAAATATGTAAATTTAATGAAATCAATATTTTTATTATTTAATGAAATCAATATTTTTATTTTACCGTTGTATGAAGATTTTCAAACGTATACGTTATATTTTGAAAATTAAATATTACGTATACGCATTCGATATCGGATATCAGGAATGCGGTAATTCGGAATCTGTTCTTTTGACTTCTTAATTATGTAAATTTAATCAAAGCTATTTTTTT